CCCCCCCCCCACTAAAAGCAGGCTCTGTGAAATGGAACTGACAGCCCGCGGATTCTGATATCTCCACCCGGCACTGGGAACGGTGTGGCATCGCCAGTGGCGACGGCCTCTGTCTCAGATGCGAGACTAAGACGCAGAAACCTGTCGCCGTCTGCCGGCAAACGCCCATAATGGGCTTAAGAGAAATAAAACTAATTATGCAGAAGCATGTCAATGGCGGGAACGTCCCTGTGCGCAGTGCGACGTCCGGAGAGCACGGCCATGCGTCTCCCATCCGGCTCTCGGCTTCAGCGTCGCGCTGGATGCGGGTGTTTAAATGCCAAACCCCAGAAGCCCCAGCACCTGCCCTTTGGAGGCAGAGAGAAGGTGCTCGTGGACTCCAATCATCCACAAAGGTCAGATGCAGGAGAGCGCCTGTGAGCGCTGCTTTAAAATTCAATTGATCGCTATCTGTGGCTGGGCCACAAAGTGTTCGAGTGGTATTTCAGCTGTATTGCAATTATCTGCCTCTGAGGAAACCGTAATAATTGCGTCCGCGTCAAATCGGCCGGTAAACGTCCGGCGTCGATTCGGAATCTCTAAATGAGGCTGTCGGTGAGCTGGAGGTCCAAGCCATCCGTCGAACTGGTAACAGGGCACGAAGGGAGCAGGGGTGAATTCCCTAACAATTTCTAGCAATGCTTTTGCTAACATGTATGTATTTGAACACCCATGTCAAATACATACCACCACCCCCCCAATCCATGCCTGCCGCTTTCTGCCCATGTGCTCTGTAAGAACGGCCCTCTCCCCAGACTGCTGATGACAGACGTCCTTTGCAAGAAAGTAGCACTGACAGCAGTATCAGCTGGTCAGGTGCCTTCAGTGAGGGAGCCCCACCCTTCTCCAGCTCAAAATGGAAAAGGGGCGTGGCTAACAGACAGGGCAGCCTGTGCAGTGTACTGGACACCCTTCCCAGTTTCAATCTTCTGACCGCCAAACCCAGATGTGGCTTTTCTCTACATTCCTCCATGAGCATGATCCCCCCCCCCTCCCAAACACTGACACTTAACTGCAATTACCAAGCACTGCACTGCTGCACTTCGCTAGCTCCTAAATATTCGGAATCCATTTACTGTATTTTGCTTTTGTTTAGAATGTGCCGAACACCACCGGCAGGCTTTATTCAATTATTAATTGGCTTTTATTTGTTACACCTTCAGAATGCGATGCACACAAGGCTGAGCTCACGCCCCTGTCGATGAACTCCCGTTGCCCCCGCATCTCACAACCACAAACACCCCCCTCCCCCAAAAACAGCACGCAGACAGCGGCACCGATCACTCTCACTAAAGGTGCCCTACTCACCATGGCCCCTGAGTCCATCCCATCCTAAGGTTAGCCCTGATCACGCAGGGGGGGGCTGGTAGATAAGATAAGGCTGATCTCTCCAAAATCTTGAGCTAATGTGCTGCCAGGACACTTTAAGAAAACACCAAAAGATATACTTTCAAAGACGTTAAAGTACTGACACAGGCGTTTTTAGGGAAGACAACAATAACCCAAAAGAGAGGCTTTCAATTAAAAAAATGCTTATCAAAGGTAAAATTGCATGTTAAATTTAGCACTTTTTTTTCCTTTTTTTGAAGCCTGATTCCGCGCTCTGGCCTGCTGCTGGGAGACCCTGTCGCCACCCTCCACTGACCACATGACCAACATCTCACCAAGGTGTGAGGTCACACTCACACGCAATGAGGAGGATCTAAATGACTTATTCATTTCGGGGGGGCTGGATGCTTCACAGGCGGCGGACCGCGGGGGCCGACGCCAGGCTCTTCCCCCCTGCCCCAGGGCCCTTCTAATTAGCAAGGTGAATCAGGCAGTCGCTCTCTAATTAGAGAACATGACAGCCTAATGGCGGCATGTGGACGGGAGACATCCCACAAAAGGCCGCTGCTGCCCCCCCCCCCACTCTGCGTAAATAACCCCTTTGTTCTTGCGTCCCACACGCCACCCCCCCCCAACGCCGCGTCCCGGAAGCGTGGCGGCTGCATGCCGCTCCGCCGGTTACCCTTGCCCTCTCGTGTTCCCCCCCAATTGTAACTCATCCTCGATCCCAAATCAGGGAGGCCGACGGCTCGCCCTGAGCGTAGCACTCCTCTCCCCCCACCCCCCAATCCCCTGGCACTGGAGTCCCAGGGAGCCTGGCTGTGCACAAAGCGGGACAGTGGTCCTGCAGGCTGTAAGGGGCCCTCGCTGTGGAGGCTGCCTCCCGCTCGCCCAAGGACACATCTCTCTCATTACACTACTTAGCAAGAGTGAAAAACTGAGACACCGAGAGGAGTTTGAGTGTCCCCCCCACCCCCACCCCTACCCCCCATGCCGTGTCTTTGGGAAAAACATCGGAAAGGCTGAGAGTACGGCTAACAACAACATTCGCCATAAGAAAGCCTGTATTAGCATTTACAATTAGGTCTTCTCAACACGTTTCTGCTGTGACGAGAATGAAAAAAAAAACTTTTTTTGGGTCACACACACGCACGCACGCACACGCACGCACACACACACACACAGATATAATATAATTGGAAGTTCAGCCAAAACAATGTCCAACACTAACAAAACATTGCTTTACATCACAAAACACTCACAGGTGAATCTCTCTATAGGTTCACAGAAGCCGACTGAAACACTCACAGGTGAATCTCTCTATAGGTTCACAGAAGCCGACAAACACTCTCTCGTTTCTGAAAGGTCCTAAACTGACGAGAGAGAAAGGTACAAACTAGATGCCAAATCTCAGTGTGTCAGGGGTACATGCGCACACTGTTAGGGTATACTCACGCCAGCCATCGCCTGCTGTGCCTGAGCCACGGACCTGGGCACAGTATACACGCAGTGTGACTGCTAAAACAGACATGACGTCCATGATATGACTGGTACACGCATGTGCACATGTACACTATACATGAACTGGACCCAGAAGGAACGAATCAGGTAGGCTGTACAGATTAGGTTTACCAAACACCGTGGCTAAGGGATCACTTTGGTCTACAGCAGAGATGCAGTGTTTGCTGGAAATTTGGGCTGACTAGAGTATCTAGGAAAATCTGGATGCAACACAAACTGCCGGCCCCTTATGGATAGTTGGTTTACATTTGGTAGAATATGGGACAATCTTTATACATGCAGCACAATTAAATGAAAATTGCTGTGTTACATACTCGATAAATCTATCAGTGCTGTGTGTCATCAAACCCAAAACAAATAAACGACAAAATAAGGACATTAACCACGAAGTCTATCGCACTGTACGATATCGCTTTTCTTCCTATGTTTTATTCAACACAAAATGGTGCACAGTGATGAAGAAAGTGTGTTTGAGCCCAGAAAGTTGAGCGCAATATGAGCACAGACCAGCTGGGGAGTGGAGAGGGGGGGCATTCATGCTCGGGCAGGATACAGGGCAGCCGGGCCAGGTGGGAGTACCATCCTTTACAGCCAGCCTGACAGACACCGCTGTGATGTAAATGCAGCTTCCCCAGTCGGTCATGACTGCATTTTGTGGTCATAAAGCTCAGGAAAAAATTAAGAGACCACAGCAAAAATTTCAGTATCACTTATTTCTCAAATTTATGGGTATGAGCCAGTGTAAAATATAAAAATTTTTTTTTGCAAACTCCAGCCTGGCTTTTCCCTGCTTCTCATTAATGAAGCGCTTCTTCCTTGCTTTATGGGTCTTCAGTCCTGCTTCTAGGAGCCTGTTATGAATTGTCTTAGCAGTGAACTTCACACCACTTAATGTTTCCCAAACCTTTTGAAGGTCACTCCTCCATTAATGAGGCACTGCCACATAAGTTGATGGTCATCTCTGGCATTAGAAAACTGCTTATTCTGCTCTCTACCAGGCTGGTTTTTGGTCAGTGTCTCCTGCTTCACCTTGTTCTTGTGTGCTGCTGTCTTAGAAACTTTGAGGCCAGAAGCAGCCTGTCGCACAGTGTAGCCTTCTGCCAGCAGAACCAGGATTTAAAAATGCAGATTTAAAAAGATATATATAGCATGGTCTCTTAATTTTTTCCAGAGCTGTATGTTCACAGCATTTAATAGGAAAGCCCTGTTTGGATGGGAGAGGACAAGATACTGGGCATGGAGAGCAGAAGAGCCGCACGGCCCCTTGCTTCCAGGACCACAGACATGCCATAGCCTCTCATTCAAAGCGGAAGCAGAACTGGGAGGGGGGTGGACAGCATGGACATGGTCTATGCATTGTCCTCCCTTAGATATCTGCATGAAAACAAGGGAATTCCTAAGAGTTTGGGATTGCCGTGGACAAACTGGGTCAGCGGAGCGATCCTGACCCAAGAGGGAATCGGATAGCAATGCAGGCAGCTTGACAGAGACCTGCTGAAGGAGAGGGGGGCTGTTCAGGGAGCGCAGTGGGGAGCAAGAGTGGCAGCTAAATTAAAAAGGACCCTCAGAAGGGTTAATCTGTCTGTTTTTATCACAGCCCAGGCTCACAGTGGCCTCACCTCCATGGCCCCATCATCAGCCCCCCCCCCTTCCCCTCCAAATTATGGCGTCACGTTTCATGCTTCAGATCTTCACGCCAAGCTCTTAAGAGCAATTCCATTTTTTAAACAGATTTGGGGATGGGTGGGGGGGGGGATGAGCAGAGCCCCCACCAGCTGCCAGTGAAAATGAGCGACAGTTCGTTATCCAGATGAAATTCCTCCAAACGGACAGGCTACCGGGTGAGACTGACACGCAAACAGACCCCGCCCCCCTCAAGCAAATCAGGTGATAAAAATTAGCAAAGGCAATGGAATGTATTCCTGTCTGTGAAATACTAAATAGAGCGCTATTTACATAAGACAGTCGGAGTGGGGGGGTGCCACCACACACTTTGATGATGCCCCCCAAGACAAGTACATCAGGCTATGGGCACCTTGATTTATATGCCCGGGACTTACCGTAGATCCAGGATTCAACCTGAACTTTATAACAATGGTCACCGTGGACCTCAGGGTGGGAGGGGAGTTGATAACGCGGCGAATGGGGCGACGCGTTTCAGGTGATCAGCTTTTTTTCTGCCTTTGTTCCAGGAGCAGGTGAGCCACCACCCACCTCCGGCGAAGTCGCACCGGCGCGCGACGGTGGGAGCGACGCGGAAACCAGGTCACTGCGAACCGTCGCTTTGTTGCCAGGAAGCTCGACGTGGAAGAAGGAATGATGACGCGGGCTTGCGTGAAGACGTTACCATCACGGGCACGAATCCGGCACCTTCCTGGGCTCCCTGAGCACCCCCCACGTGTGTTTTCATGGAGATAAGGTATCCCCCCCCTCAAATAGCGAAGAGCGCCATTCAGGCTTTTATTTAAGACCTCCAGTAACATGGGCTTGAATTTCGGTATGCCGGCAACAGTGACAGCAGAAAGGGAATGGAAGGTGGGGGGGGGGGGTGGAAGACAGAATGATCATCTGAATAACCTGCAGTGCTGCAGTGAAAAGGGAGCCCTATTAGCCTTTAAAATGCAAAACAGATTGTTAAGTAGGATGGTAAGCATGGAGGGGAAAAGTGCTGAGGAAACCTTTAACTGAAGGCTAATTTACAGCTAACGCCCAAGTGTGTGAGGAACATATGTTTCCCAAATCTGTAGAAGCTGAAGTGGGGTTAAAATAAAGGGGGCTTTTCTTAGTGCGTCACTCTACAGGGGCTGCTTTCCCAGCCACGGACATCAAATGACAAACAACCCCCAAAACTTATAGTACTGCACATGTAGAACACCATGAAAAATGGCGATTTCCACTGCGCTCACCTCCTTAGCTCTCTGCTTCAGTCGAGCCTGCTCCGGGTCCTCCTGCCTCGAGCGACTCTGCATGGTCGAGGAGGAGAAAAGGGGGAGGAAGAAAAAAAGAAACACAGGTTAACAGCTAGTTTAAGGATCTGCTCATCTGTTGCAGAGAGCAAAAATAGTCAATGAAATGAGAACAGGATCCAAAGTGTCAAGGACGTGACGTCTGAGAGCACACAGGTGCGATTCCACCGCCCGGGGCAGCACCCTGTACATCTGCTCCGGATCCGGCTGCCGAGCAGTTGGTCGGAAGGAGGATTGGTGTGGAAGATTCCGTGCAGCCAGGAGCCTGGGCATCTACGTTCATGCCGACAGTAGATGCGGGTGGACCATCCGTGTTACCGTTGTGGTCTTTACGGCCGTACCACTAGTGTGGCCGCTGCATCCCTTTTGGGACAGTGTCACCTAAACGTGGACCACGCGTCGTCACCGTGACAAACTAAGCATGTGGGGGGCGGGGAGGGGGGTTTCACTGCCCTCTGTGCAACCCCTATCCTGCAAGGACTGCGTTTATTCCACCACCTTGGATTATTTTCCCGAAAACGATGTGAAAGTCCCAAAGAGTGGACGACCTTCACCGGGTGCTGTGCTGCAACCTCATAAATTGAGCCCCCAGCCCACTGCTGACAGAAAAGGGCTTTCCTCGTGCTGTCCTCATCCCCTGGCAGTCCGAAGGGGCTGCCCGCGCACCTTCCTCTTTGTTGCCTCTAAACATATCAGGTACCCCAACGCTTCACTTGCTATTTTAGGGAAAAATATCCGCCTTCCGGACCAGAGGCCCGTCCTTCAGGAGCTGAGTCCATGTTTCTAATCGAAGGCCACCGGGGGACTCCTGTTAGAGGTCGAACGGATACATGCACCTGTAGGCAAACATTGGAGGAGAACCCCACTGGCTCAATGACCACCATCACGCCTACATCCCCAAGGTAAGACCTGCACCGACAGGAGAAGCAGCACACCTCTATGACACACTTCCCATGTAAAAACTCTGGGAGCATGACAAGATCATGGCTGGCCAACCACGTGTTTGGGTCTGATCCTGCTCTGCGGAGCCGTTACACAACAGTCTGTTCTGAAGGACGTAGCCCGTTTTAACTTGCAGCTGGTGAACGGATTAACAAGTTAACAGCCAGTTCCGAAGGACACAGACGATGCAACGGGATAATGGATTAACATCACTCTTCAGGGCCTGACTTTATGGGCATGCATAACACCCGAGAGCATCGTTTTGGGCAATGTCAAGTGTCCTGGTTATATAAGCACACATACATCTGTAGCCAGCAGACAGACGATGACTGCAAAATGACAGAAAGCCAAACGGTAAATAACATACAATAATAATAGGAATTCACATGTATTAAACATAAGTCCCCCATTCATGAAGGACTGGCAGTTTCTGAACAGTTTTTCAGTCCGAGGGAGAACGGTGTTCAGTGATGTAAGGTGATGTGTGGGACTGCGTTGGCACAGCGCCGGTGTGCTCAGGTACAGCACAGCTTCCTAACACAGACCTCCATCTGAATGCCACTGTCATAGACTGCCTCTCAATCCTAACATCACAGAGATTCCAACCAGAAGCTGTTCGAAATGCGAAGTGGATAAAATGGGTCAATCTGGTCGGCAGCGCCGTGTTTGGATGGATCGGGAGCTCATCTGGCGGAGGGGTAATTAACAGCAGCATGACATCTCTATTACATATTAATGCACGTCGAATGGGGACCGGCGCTACAGCGGGATCCTGACAAAACACCATTTCTATTACAGGCCACTGTCTCTGCTCGAGACGAGCTAATTAGCCCAGCCTCTCTGCCGCTCCCCTACCCACCCGAGGGCCCCTCAGCGTTCAGCGAGGACGCTTTCGGATCACACCGTCGAGCCCGATGCCCGCCGGACACCCGCTGTCACCGGGCGTCACCTAGCGGAGGCTCAGTGACCTGATTTTCATTCCCCTTGTGAATGACATACTGGAGGTGCATTATAACACTACTTTGCCATTTTAATGTCAGGTTTACCACTGGGGTCAGAGGTCAGGCTTACTTCCTTTTGTGGTGGAAATCGTGATGCTGCATATTAAAAACCCCAGGACCAAAACAGTGGTGCCCAACAGCCTGAAAGGGCCACAGCTACTGATGCCAGACCTGAGCAAGGCTGACGGTGATTCTACAACAAAGCTCCATAAGATTAGGGGGATCTCAACTGAGCCCATAGATTAATTTGGGTCGGCCATTTGTCTGGCACCCCAGGAGCAGTTTTTGCGGTTAAGTTGGTTTCCCTCTTAACCCCTAGAGCCACACAGTGAGTGGCCGGGCTCCTCTGGCAGACACAAGAGGGCGACGGTGAGACAGAGCCGGATGCCGACATTCATGTGGCTCCCTAGCGGAGCCCCTCTGGAGCGACGCCTCTGGAGCGACGCCTCTGGAGCGACGCCTCTGGAGCGACGCCTCTGGAGCGACGCCTCTGGCTTCACTTCTGCCCGTCCCGAGGTGTCAGGGATGTCCGAAAGTCATTAAATACAGCAGATGTAGCGAGGCGGCCGTACTTTGGCGGCTTTCAGTAGGATCTCCCTCTCCTGCTCGTCCTTCCGCTGCTTCTCTATCCGCTCCAGCTGCTCGAAGAACTTGAGCTGTGACCGCACGTCTGTGGACTGCTCGTACCATTCGTC